CAATGTGGATGCTGCCCATTAAACTAAACATATTTCCTCTCCTGGGAGTAGAGACATAATATTATAATGTATCTGTGGTAACTTTGGACCTGCCGTTAGATGGGTTTGGGCCAAGTTTCCATCTGTAACCCGATTTCTCTATGCCCTTTCTGAGTGGTGGATCACATTGGCATTTAGGGTCTTCAAAGATTAGCATAAATTCAGTGTCAATATCTGATAATCCCTAAAATGTCAGGCTATTTTCATTTTTCCAGAGCATAGTCAATCTGGTAAATGTTTCATGGAAGTCCCTTCTGTAAAAGCTTAGGGAAAGAGTCACAATATACATGTTTTTTCAGGCTGCAAGATTCTTTCTCAGTGAAGGGGCTAAGAGTCTGTGAACTAGTTTAGTTCTGAAAATTGGGAAGAGGCCAAATCTCTGTCATGGTAACATGAGCTAGATTCTTCTCAGGAAACCAAAATTATTTCCATCTATATATGTCAAGCAGTACTTTAATAGACTAGCAGTCCATTTCATCTTTATGAACTCTGTAATCGATTAATCATATCTGCCCTTTACCAATAGAGATGGTTCCTTTACCAACAGCTCCTTGATAGCTACCAAAAAGCCTTCACCACAGGTTCTTAGCCTTTAATTTCTCTTTTTCCCTATGTTTGTTCTCTAGGACCATAACGGGCCAGATGCATGGCTTATCTGTTTTCTATTTCCTGCAGAGAAAAAGGAATATGCATATCTTGCACATATGAATAAATCCCAGAACCCCACTTTGAAGATTTGATCATTGACCCACTCTTAGTACCAATTATAATATCAGTCCACACAGATAGCATGATCAAATGGGATAATTTGAGGAGTTTAATAAACAGACAATTTACAAAGATGTGGACAGTGTGTATAGGGGATCAATAGTTGTCTAGTTTGGTAGTACTGAGGTGGTATCGTTGGGGCCTAAAGATTTGCGGTATAGAATTTCAGCCAATCTCCATGTTATCAGAGGCCGCCTCACCTTGCTTTCCACCTGTGCTTTCCACAGTTCCCGGAACCTCAAATATCGGTCCTCTTAGAGTTCCTGTAGGACAAACTTGCTGTCTTATTACCTGTATCTTTCAGGACAGGCAATTAAACCAGAGATATATCCATGTTGTTATACTGGTTAGCACTTTTCCATTGTTGGTCCATGTCCAAATTCTTGAACCCTTTCAGCTATAATTGAACAGAGGCTGAAAGTCTTGTCCCAGCCTCTGTTTTGGTTGTACAGTAGCATCTTTTTAAATTCCGTGTGTGTGTGTGTATTTAGTCAATTGGCTATACCAAGAATGGTTCTTAAAAAAGCATTTGTTTTGGAAAATGTGGTTTCATTATGTAATTTGTTAAACATATAATTGGCAATCAACATATTTATTATAATGCTTTAAGCTAATTGTGTAGATTTCAATTCTGTAAAATATTAGGGCAGGGGCACTTTACATGTTAAGTAATGTACCTGTCAAAAGTGAATCCTGTTCTTGAGCTCATGGCACATCCTTGTGAAGCATATTTCTATTCTGTGAACAACAGATCAAGCTTAGCATGGTATTTTCTGTTTGACATGAGACAAGGTGCTGTTCTAACCTTTTCTGTCTCCAGCAAGCAGTCGGGAAATCAGTCTCTGTGTGTGTGTGTGTGTGTGTGTGTGTGTGTGAGTGTGTGTATGCATGTGTAATTGATTACATTAAAATTATGTTGCTATCACATTGAATATCTTTGGAAGCATTCAACTTTTACAATGATATAAACTGTTGATGCAAAGAAGATGATTATTTTATTTGTGCCCTTACTCTCCAAATGGAGATTATCAAATATCAACAATATCCATTAGAAGAAAAAAGTGGTCATACAACCTAGATTATAAATGTCAAAATGTCATACTATAGTAGATTATTTTTGAAAAAAAAATTTTAATTTTTTCTTTAGAATAAATTTTCAAGAAAATTCGTAATCTAGATTATAATTGCCAAATTGTCATACTATAAGATTTTTTTTTAAAAAAAAAAAGCTTGAATTTTTCTTTAGAATAAATTTTCAAGGAAACACTTGTGAAAGTCACTAACATCAATCAGTGACAAAAACAAAAGCCCAGCTGCCAAAATAGCATAGACATTTGAGCTAGTGTTCCAATCCTTTAATGTTTATTATAGCTCAAAGGTTCTGAAATAATTATTCCTTTAGTTTCAGTTGAAAAGCTGGGGGAAATGAAATGGAATTATGTATCTCTTAGACAGTAATAAATAAACCATAAGATACTGGTTAATCCAGTGGAGAAGACACATTGGGCAATGAAATAAAAAATATCATCAAAAATTGATTGAAGATGGTCTCTTTTCAACTGTCAAAGAAGGCTTTAGCACTAAGATGTTATGGCATTGTGAAATAAAAATAACCAAAATTATCTATATGTGTAAATCTGCTGCACTTGGTCTGAAAGAATGAAGGTAAGTTTCTCCTTGTTTGCATTTGAAAAACAAGAGCATTTATCTAACCTGATTTCCTGGGTTTTCACATGAAGACACCTGTTGATGTCTCATGATGTTATCCAAAACTTCAAGACATGCATAGCAGAATTCGTTTATTTTATTTGCTTACTGATTTAGTTATTTACATATTTGTATGCTGGTTTACTCCTTTGTTCAATACACAGAATTTGGGGCTTAGCATGTAGAAGCAATTAAGCCACTCTGGGGTGCCATACATCGTCCCTGTTCCCAAGAAGGTAGTTGCTTAGTGTATGAGTTAGACATAAAAATGTGATTTCACACAATGGAGAGGCTTAATGATTATTGGTTAGACTGTACACATCACAAAGAAAATAATGATAATGTCTTGTTTATTATTGCCCTAGTGCTTAGTGTGAATAATACTGAATATTTATTAAATACTATTAGATAATTTAAGGCAATTGATAAATATTAAATGTTAAAGATAGTATATAGTATTAATGAAAGTATAAGGTGGAGCATCTCAACCTGCTTATGAGGAGTTGTTGGACGCTTCCTAAGGAGGTTTGCACAGACTTATTCAGACGACTATATGTCTGGGCAATGTTACAGACGTAGAAGGCATCAGAAACAAAGGAACAGACAGGTCAGGCAACATACACATCTCAGAAATGGTAGCACATGAAGAGTAGAGTAGAGTGATGGGAGCTGGAGAAAAAGAGATGTGATAATGAGGAGACTGAGTAGATTAAGAAACTTAGGAGAAATGGGAAGTCATTGAAAGTATACTAATCAACGTTTACTATGTGATGCTGCATAACAATCTCAAAATCTCAATGGCTTACAATACCATGTACATTTTTCTTGCTACTTTACATTTTGATGGCTTTGAGTTACCTGCTGTGCTTCTTCTCGTGGCTGTGAACTTAGACCTGCTCCTCATTCCAGGATGTAAGCTCAAGGATCCGTCTCTAGCATATGTCCTTCTCATGACAGAAGGCATAGAAGCATAAGCACATAATAAAATTTACAGCTTCTTCTTGCCAGATTTGGCACATCTGCCAAAATAAGCTACAGTGTTGGCCTGGTGGGGTGGCTCATGACTCTAATACCAGTGCTTTGGAAGATGAAGGCAGGAGGATCTTTCGAGTCCAGGAGTTCAAGACCAGCCTGGTAATGTAGTGAAACCCATCTCTTAAAAAAAAAAAAGAAAAAGAAAAAGAAAAAAAAAATAGGTGGACATGGTGGTGCATGCCTGTAGTTCCAGCTACTTGGGAGGCTGAGAGAGAAAGATAACTTAAGCCCAGGAGTTCAAGGCTGCAATGAACTATAATGATGCCACTGCACTCCAGCCTGAATGAGTGATATCCTGTCTTTATAAGAAAAAAAAAAGCAACAACAGAAAACACAAACCAACAAAACACAAGCTACAGATTAAGTCCAACATCAGTGGAGCAGAGCATGTGATGTAATGCTTTTATAGGAGACAGACAAAGACGTGTTAGTGGATTTCTGAAATCTACAGATTTCAGAAAATGGCATTGTGGATTGCAGCTGACATAATTTGAAAGTAAAACATGGAAATCCTCGGGTCATCATTAACTTTTGATATCTCATGAGGGAAAATGAAGATCTGAGATAGTGTACATGTTACATAGCAGACTCTCTGTGCTCGTCATTCTCAAGGCAAATTTGAGAGCAAAACCTTACCTTTCCTTGCCCTCTGTACTCTGTAAAGTACTTTTAAAAAAAAGATATTCCCTATCCTCCTGGAGCTTTCAGCCTAGTATCAGGTACAGGCAAGGGTTTTGCATGTGCTTTATGCACTTTTCTATTCAGTTACAGACATCATGACATTCTGGCCATCTGCAAAAAGTAAGGACATTCTCGTATATATCTATAATTTCATTATTCTATCTTTAAAAATGATAAGAATTTCCCAAATATTTAATCCCAGTTCATATTCAGACTTCTCCAAATATCTCCAAAATGTCTTTTATAAATGGTTCATGTAGTTTTTTCAAATAAGAATGCAGTCCAGAACCATACATTGTACTTGGTTGTTAATCCTCTAAAGTCTCTTTTAATCTAGAATATTACTTTTGAAGAGACCAAGTGATCTGTCTTGTAAAATAATCCATATACTAGCTTTGCATGCTTGTTTCCTTATAGTAACATTTAACTGGTTCCCCCAGTATTTCCTGTAAATTGGAAGCTGAATGTATTTATTTATTTGGAAAGTTTTTTTTTATTACCTTTTGATATCCAAGCACTTTTGACCTCCTGTACATAAAGATTTTTTTTTAACATGCACATTGCTTTGAAAACACACTCTGAGTGATTACACAAGAGTCATTCATGAAGGCTAACAGAAATATAGAAGTGACTGGAAAGGTCTTTATAAATTAGGGTAGGAAATATGAGACTCATAAATACTATAAACACATTTGCTTTTAGCCCTACTATTTAGTAGCTGTATGACCTTATGCAAACTGCTTAACCTCTCTGAATCTCTATTCCCTCAGCCATAAAGAACTCTGTAAAGTACTTTTATATACTGTCATTGCACAATCAGTTACCCTCAGAAAGGGGTAAAACTCACAAAAAGGCAACACTCCGTGAAGACTTCTCAGCCATTGGTGTTCATCTGGTTATCGAGTGATCAGCTGTTCGTTGACTCCCCAGGTTGGAAAGAAAAGAGCAGGGAGCAGTGAGTGGTGTGATTGTTCTCAATAGAACATAGAAGATGTCATGACCCTAGGCTAATATAATGAAGAAATGCATTAGAATCAACATTGTGTCTCACTAAATCTTTCTTTAAATGTGTATGTTTGCTTCTCTTCCATTTTGCATCATTTCTATTTAAATTCCTAACTGGTGTTTGATTACTTAAAAATGTTTATTGTTAACACTCATTTATAGTCTATCTTAAAAAGCAGCACTATAGTATGGAAAAAAGGAAATTAATTCATGAGTTTATGGGCTTTAGAATTTAATGGGCCTGCTATATGTTCTTGCTGTTTTACTAGCTTTGAACACATTCTAAATCTTTTTCTCGAGCTCTCAGTTTCATCATCTGTAAATGGGTAATTTATTCCTGGAACCTCACACAAACTTAGAGAGGCACACGACCCATGAGAAACAGTATCACATGCGAGCCTACAGGAAGGGGAGCCAGTCTGACAGCAGCTGAGTCCCACCTCTGCCATTCACTAACTGTGTGCGCTGAGAAAATTCACTCCATCTGTGCCTCAGGTGTTTCGTCTGTAAAATAGGTTTTTCATAGGGCTTTGTGAAAGAGTAAATGATTCAATACATGTAAACTACTTAGAATTGTGCCTGGCATAAAGGACGGGTTCAGTATATCTTAGCAATTATCATGAGCAGTTGAGTATCTTGACTCCAGAATTTTCAGTTTAGATATACTTACCTGAACTCAGGGAAATGTCTTAAGTCTAAGGCCCTAAAACATAGACACATTGGTTTGCTAGCCTATGGAAACCTATTTCAGGCAGGAGTTGAATTACCCATGCACAGGCATTACAAATAATATCCACATTTCTAACTCGATGACGTAAGTTGTTACTCATCCTGAAGAAGTGTCTGTTTGTGAGGGCCAATACATTACTGTGAGAGTCTTAAGTAATCAAAACCATAGGGGCTTGAGAGCTGGGTTCAGCAGTAAGGACCTCTTCACTTGAAAGTGTAATTATTTTAATTTTTGAAGAGACTCTCCCTTTTTAGGACCTTCTTCAAAGATGAATTTCTTTTTTTTTCTTTCCTTTTTTACTTTTAATTTTATTATATTCAGTATACCCTCACTGATGAATAGCCATGCTGGGCAGACAACGTGAAAGGAGTGAACACCTCTGTTTGAAGTGGGTCTTGGGAAGTAAGAAGTGAGAGGCAATTAAATACAAATTCTGTCATCCTGCTTCTTTTGACACTTTACATATTTTGTATAGAATCTGCCACATGCTGGGAGTTTACTGACTGCATTAAAAGGCCACAATCTCTTCCATGTAGAACATTTCCATACCTGAGGTATTTGTTACCATCTGACTACTCCATCTGGCAAAAGCAATCCTCTTAAACACTGTCTCCTTGACCAAGCTATTCATGATTACATGAAAGAGAGGGTCATCCATACCATCCCATTATGTTAAAAACAACTTCATTTTTTGTTTTCAGGATTTGTTTCCCTGTTAGGCCCATTGTAAAACAATGTTGATTTTTTTTAAATTTCAACTTTTATTTTAGGTACAGGAGGTACATGTCCAGATTTGTTACATGGAAATATTACATGATGCTGAGGTTTGGAGTCTAGACCCCATTACCAAGTAGTAAGCATAGTACCCAATAGGTAGTTTTTGTTTAACCCCCACTCTACCTGCTAGTAGTTCACAGTGTCTGTATTTTCCATATTTATGTCCATGTGTGCTCAATGTTTAGATTCCACTTATAGGTAAGAACATTAGGTGTTTGGTTTTCTGTTCCTGTGTTAATTGTCTTAGGATTTTGGCCTCCAGCTCCACCCATATTGCTGCAAAGGACATTATTTCATCCTTTTTATGGCTGCGTAATATTCTATAGCATATATTTTCCCTATTTTCTCAGGTCACTGCAACCTTGAACTCCTGAGCTCAAACAATCCTCTCATCTCAGCCTCCTGAGTAGCTGGGGCCACAGGCATGCACTACTGTGCCCAGGTAATTTTTGCATTTTTGGTAGAGACAGGGTTTTGTCATGTTGCTTAGGCTGCTCTCAAACTCCTGGCTCAAGCAATCCTCCTGCCTCAGCCTCCCAAAGAAATAAGATCAACATGAAAAAATTCTGAAATTAAGGCTAAAAACTGCTTCATGTTCTTTAATCTTCCAGTTTTCAGAATGACATATACTGATTCATGAGATCATAAGAAAGACTGGAACCAGGTGTTCAGAGCCTTACTAAAAAGTGTGTTTTTTAATATGCTCATTTATTTGGAAAGAGGTGTGATTCTGGAATAAAGGTGGCAAATGATTTTTAAGTGGCAAAATAAATTATTTTATGCAAAATAATTCTGCCTAAAAGAAACATGCATTCATATGTTCATTGCTGCACTATTCACAATAGCAACAACATGGAATCAATCTAGGTGCTCTATTTCTTTCCTTGAAAATAGAGCAAAAGACCCAAGTTTAGAGAGTGAATCTGTTTTTGGTTCAAAATACTTGTTGAGTGAAATGATAATTTTGTATCTTTCAGGAGAACCCAACCAGAAAACTGTTCTGATTATTAAGCTTCTTTCTATAAGTAAGTTAAAGTGATTGAGTTCGTGGTGGTGGGTTAAAGCCTCTGTGTAAGTCAGGCTAGGTTAGGCAATGCTGCAATAACAAGCAACATAAAAATCTCTGTAGTTTAATGTAACAAATGTTTATTTCTTGCTCTTCAAAAACACCCTCTGCAGGGTTTGGTGAATCCCAAAGCAACCACGTTCTATGCAACAGCTCAGTGTTTCAGGATACTTTCATTTGGTGGCAGCTGTATTTCAACACATGCTTACATGTTTCCTGTCACCGGAGAAAAATATGTGAAGAACTGGATTATAGTCAAACCTATTGGTTAGAGCTAATTACATGGCTCTACTTACTGCACAGAGGATTGGGGAAGTATAATCCATTAGGGGAGGGGAGGAGAACTAGACATATCAGGGAGATAATATCTGCTATCCATCCCACTTACGCCAAGGACTGAGGCAGGAATAATCTAATAAATGATTCACCTTCTACTATTACTATCTTGGGCAGATAAACTCAGAGAAAGCTTTCTCTGCTCTGATGGACGAGAGTGGAACAAGGGTACTAGTAGGTCTGCGCTGTGCTGACAGATGAAAGCGATTTTAGTATTATAGCCATTGCATTAGGAGGTCACTCAGAGACACAGCCCTACTTGTCCAACACCATTGACATGAGAGACAAGGAGCCATTACCATCAGGTCTGCCTTGGGCCATGTCCAGCCTACTAGACCCTTGGGTCTCCACGTGGGGCTGGGCTTGGGTGGGTTATTGGAAGGAGGGTTGGCTGGCCCTATTTCTCTCTTCTCTCCTTTGACCATAAACCTACTGTATATTGTCTTTTTGATTGTATGTGTGGTATTACAGAAAGCTGAATTCTGTTGAACCTCACAGATTGGCTGGGAAACACTAAAGTATATTGTAAATTATTAGAATTAACTCCCCAACAGTTAGTCTTGGCCTCCATACTATTTGGGTTGCAAAGAAATACTAAAAGGTGCAAATCTTTTTCCTTTCAATTACAGCTATAAAGCATTAAGACATGTTTTCACTAGTCTCGTTATTGATAGGGATACAAAGATGAATTTGGCAGAGTCTGTTCCCCTAATAAGACTACAGTGAAGGGCAGAAGCAAGAACTCTCAGTACACATAACTAGTACAGACAGAGGACAAGTCCACAATCCTGAGCTGGTGAGAAAGGCTGAAATATTAACTGGAGGGAGAAGGTGGGAGTACAGTCAGGGAAGACTACACAGTAAGGAGAGGTTGGACCGGAGTGTTGAAGGGCAAGTAGAATTTTTCGCATGGAGGCCTGAGAATCAGGCTGGTCTTCCCATGAAAGACACTTCCCAGGTGTCAGAACCAGCAACTAATTTGTTATTGTCTTGTAGAAAAAATGACGCTTATACCTTATTAGCTTTTCTTCTTTATCTTTGCTTAGAGGAAGTACAGATACAAATATGGGTCTGCACATGTACAAACAACTGTACTTGTTTTAATTGCATGAATCTTTACCTCTGGTTTAGTCTTTTTTTCTTAGCATCCTTCTCTCCACCTGAGAGAGATGGGCTTTTCTTAGATCCTCTTGTATATTTCTCTATAAGTTAGTTACCTCCGAACCCTTTTGAAACAAATGTCAAAAGAAAGAATAACATGGTATTTTGTAGAATTCTGTATGGTTTGCTCTTTTTGGGAGAGTGGAAAAGAAAGAGGCACCATATTTCATTCATCAGCATAACATGGGGGATGGATTGGAGAAGATGGGGCTAGAGCCTGGGAAGCAAGTTAGGAGCCTTTGCCATTTGTAGAGATAATAAAGACCTGTACCAAGACTGCAGCTCTGGCAATGTAAACAGAGACTTAGATTCAAGAGATACTTTGAAGACATACTGTGCAAGACATGCGAATGGCTTAAATATCTAGAGAAACTTTCAGATTTATGGCTTGAGTCACTGGGTAGGTAGGTGGCAGGGCCTTTTACTAAAACAGAAATAAGGAACAGAATAATGGGGAAAATGTGGGTCTGTAAGGAATTCATTTGGAAATATTCAGCTTGAAATTTCCATAGGAAATTAAATGCTGAGTTTGTAGCACAGCAGAGAATAGATCAAAAGCCAAAGGAGTTGAAGATGCTATTCATCAGAGTTGAGAAGAAGATGGATCATCAAGTTCAGTTTCGTAAAGGAGGGATGCAAAGTGAAAAGGGGCTGACAGCAGAGAAACCAAGAGAAAATTGTGGAATTCAAGAGATAAAATTGTATTTGGTGTAAATGGAAAAATTGTTGAGAAAGAAGGATGGAACGTTGTGGTCAGACTATACAATTTAAGGACATTGCAGCTGGTCCAGGATGTGGCCCTAGGAAAGAGTTGCTCGTGAAGATTATAGGTGATGATTATTGTGGTAAGGGAGTTTAAAGGTAAAAATGGGGGTGGGGTGATGTGATAGGAAGACAAGATTCCTATGTGTGTATTTAGCATGTGAGAATGACCTATAGGGCATTGGTAGGTGGAGGTATGCACAGGTAAAGTGCATTATAGCCAGGTGTTAAGAGATCCAAGTGACAAGAAGATTTCATAGGCACATAATGGCGAAGAGCTTAACATCAGAAGTGGGGCTAGAAGTTCGCAAAGCCCGTTTTCAATTAAAGTTGCAGAAAATAAGTGGCACTCCAACATTTTAGATAATGCAGAATGACGGGAATAATTATTCTTTCCTGGATGCTTCACAAAGATGCTATGTAGATAAATGAGAAAAGATCTATGAAAGGGCGAGGCTCTTGGATCACAAATCAGTGGAAGGTACTGATGACATTGAACCAAAATTAAGTCCCCGACATTGATTACCCTTCTCACTCATAGTTGGCTGATTGGGCCTTGAGATTGTTTTTATAAGTTCAGTCATGAGGAAATGAACACTTGTTGCCAGGTAACCCCAGGAATCATAGCAGTGTGCCAGGCTGTTCATGATGCATCAGTTTAAACACAGAGCACTAACTATGTATGTGGTTACTGAGTAAACATAATATTAAAATTGACATGAATATGAGAGAAAAACAATTTAAAAATTTACTTTTGTGTTTTAAGTAAAGCAAGACTTTGCAGATATTTCAAGATTGATGTGGATACTTTGGGCTGCCCCAGCACATTTTCAGGGTTTGACTGCCAGCATACCAACTAGTGGAAAGGTGTGAACATTCATGTTCACATATTGCAGATGCTGGAGGCAACGCCGAAGACAATGTCAAAAGTTGTTCAGTGAAAGAACTGATGATATAAATGAACAGCTTCTTAAGTGCTGATGTTGAAATGTCCAGTAATCATTTGGAAGTGTGAAGTCTGGAAAGTTTGTGGAAGACATTAGTAACATTGCTGCACACACCCACTAGAAACAACAGAAAGGTGTGATAATAGCAGGGTAATTAAACACAATTATAACTCATCTTTATGATAGTACCTTATTAAAATGACCATTAAAATGATGATGGAGACATGTATTCAATTATATAGAAATAAAATACATTCACTTTGAAAAGGTTGCCTGAGTATTTCATATAAATCTAGTTATTATTTACATATTATATTCATATTCATCAGAAAAAATCAGGATATATGTGTATATATATTTATTTGGTTGTTTGGGACTCGTACAATGTTTTTTGTGTATAATTTAATTATGTTTCTTTTTGTTCAGTATTTTCTAATTTATTTACAATAAGCACATATCTCTTGTGTAATAAGCCTAATAAGAGAAAATAAGTAGAATATCTATGGTAAACTCACCATAGCATTGAGTTCCTGAAAGCCATTTGAGGAAAAATGGAAGTTTACTTATCGTAGGTGAGTTAAATCAGCTATTTTTCTGTTCCCACTGTCTCATAATTCTATCTGTGAAACTGCCCAGCCAGCATCAGGGCGGTTGTTGGCTATATAGGTATACTATTCCCTATTGACCACATTCTTACCATGCACTGCAAAATAAATGAGGCTACAACACCCACTAACCTTTGAAGGTCATGGATAGCTTCAAAGCATCTAATGCAAACTTGGCTTTGTGTTCATATGCTATTATTATTATTACTATTTTGCTCTGCTTCGGATTTGAATCTTGAGGAGAAGTTTCCAACCCAGCTTTGGAAAGAGAAACTGCTGTCATTTGTGAATGCAGTTAATTAGAATAACATTTGCTTTTAAGTATTCAATATTTGGCATGGTTATCAGACCTAAAGGTTATGTTGTTCTGTCAGATAAGCTGGGCTCCAAGGGGTACCTGTTGTCTCCCCAGACTCGTACTGGCTAAATATAGGAATCCAGGGTGGATGAGAATAATTGCCTTAGATATTAAATCTCCACATTATAATAATGAAGCTTATTTAGGTCTTCCATGGCATTATTGACAGATGGATTTCCTTTGTATGGACAACTCATTGCTCAAAAAATTTCTTGGAAAGTGCAGGAAGTAGAGGTTGATTCTTTTGAGCACACTGGGAGCTACCGTAAGTCAAGGTAGCTGCTTTGGAGGGGAATTTAGCCCA